CAGCGGTTCATTGACGGACTTTACCCAGCAGTTCGTCATAACATCGTGGGACACGGTACTCAGACATACGCTCGTGCAGTTTCTATCGCCCAGGAGGTGGACGCTAGCATCAGGAGAGAGGCAGTCCGTGATCGTGCCCAGCCATCCGCCCCAGCTCAGCCAGTTGCAGTTCCACCAGCTCTACCAGCCCCTCAGCCAGCAAAGGAGAAGAAGAGAAAGGGAAAGGGTGCACAGATTGACCGGAGGACCCGACAGAGACAGCAGCCGATTCCACCGTGCCCGACTTGTGGTCGACTTCACAGGGGAGAGTGTCGTGCTGGACAGGACATCTGTTACTATTGCCAGGAGCCGGGACATTTTGCGAGTCGTTGCCCGAAGAAACTCCAGCAGCAGCCTCAGTAGCCGCCACAGCAACAGCAGCCACGACAGCAGGCACAGAGGCCGCCTCAGCAGCAGCAGCAGCAGAGGGGCAGACAGCAGGCCAGGGTTTACGCGGTTGATCAGGCCGAGGCAGCTCAGCAGCCAGGTACTATGTCAGGGATGGTTGTCCTCAATGATATTCCTGTGTTCGATTTATTCGATACTGGAGCGACGCATACTTTCATTTCACGACGATGTCTCGACGCCATCGGAGTTCACGTCATTACCGCTGTCGATCCTCTCGAGGTGAGTCTAGCCTCGGGACGGAAGATAGTGACCTCAGCTAAAGCCTCAGATCTTAGCCTTTCCATCGGTGGCCGAGTATTGACTGCCGACGCGTTTGTTCTCGAGATGAGGGACTTTGACCTTATTCTCGGGATGGATTGGCTATCCTTTTATCATGCAGACATCAGATGTCATGACCGGGAGATTACTCTCTATCTTCCGGGAGACGAGTCGATTACTTTCTTCGGCTCCAGGAATCGTTCACTGCCTCAGGTTGTTTCGATGGCGAAAGCCACTAAGCTATTGCGACGAGGCAACTGCCAGGGTTATCTGGTGAGCCTTGTTGAGGATTCTCAGAAAGCGCGGACACCTCATGATGTTCCAATCGTTCGCGAGTTTGTGGACGTGTTCCCAGACGAGCTTCCAGGAGGACCGCCCAACCGTCAAGTGGAGTTTTCTATCGATCTTATTCCAAGGGCCGGTCCAGTATCCAAAGCCCCATATCGCATGGCGCTTAAGGAGTTGCAGGAGCTTAAGACTCAGATTCAGGAGCTGTTACGACTCGGTTTCATCCGACCGAGCGTGTCACCGTGGGGAGCACCCGTTCTCTTTGTCAAGAAGAAGGACAGATCTATGCGCATGTGTATCGACTACCAGGATCTTAACCGGTTGACGATCAAGAATAAGTACCCGCTTCCCAGGATCGACGACTTATTTGATCAGCTGAGGGGAGCCTGTGTGTTCTCGAAGATTGACTTACGATAAGGCTACCATCAGCTGAAGATTAAGGAGTCAGATATCGCTAAGACCGCTTTCAGGACTCGTTACGGCCATTACGAGTTCGTCGTCATGCCTTTCGGTCTCAGCAATGCGCCAGCTGTTTTCATGGACCTCATGAACCGTATCTTTCATCCCTACCTCGATCAGTTTGTTATTGTCTTTATTGACGATATCCTTATCTACTCAAAGAGCCAGAAGGAGCACGAGGAGCATCTGAGGGTGGTTCTTGAAACCCTCAGACGAGAGAAGTTGTACGCCAAATTCTCCAAATGCGAGTTCTGGCTTCAGCGAGTATCCTTTCTGGTTCATGTGATCACTCAGGCAGGCATCGAGGTGGATCCTTCTAAGGTTTCAGCCGTGCAGAACTGGTCGACACCGAGGAGTCCGTCCGAGGTTCGCAGTTTTCTCGGTCTAGCTGGTTACTATCGCAGGTTTATCGAGGGCTTCTTTAAGATTGCCCTCCCTCTATCCCAGCTGACGAGGAAGTCTGTGAAGTTCGAATGGACTGACCGATGTGAGGCGAGCTTTCAGGAGCTCAAGAGGAGATTGACTTCAGCATCGGTGTTGACTATTCCCGATCCTACTCGGAGTTTCACTATCTTCAGCGATGCTTCGAGGCAGGGTTTGGGATGTGTCCTTATGCAGGACGGACAGGTCGTTACGTATGCTTCACGTCAGCTTAAGCCTCATGAGCAGAACTATCCTACGCATGACTTAGAGTTAGCAGCAGTCGTTCACGCCCTGAAGATCTGGCGACACTATCTTTACGGTGGACGCTGCGAGATTTTTACAGACCATAAGAGCCTGCAGTATATCTTCACGCAAAAGGAGCTTAATATGAGGCAGCGCCGTTGGCTTGAGCTTGTCAAGGATTATGATTGTTCTATCCCTTACCATCCGGGAAAGGCGAACGTCGTCGCGGATGCTATAAGCCGAAAGGTGAAGGGTGACTTGACGTACGTCATTACGCAGCAGAGTCCGTTGATTCATGAGTTTGCCCGGATGCAGCTTCAGGCAATTGATGCACTTCCCATAGCTGTGTCGGGGAGTACCAGTGCCAGTGTCAGTGCTATGCAGCTTCAGCCGACACTGAGAGAGAGAATCCGGCGAGAGCAGGCTTCTGACGAGTTTATTCGTGTCATGGAGGCCAAGGTTCGCGCCGGAGGTGCCCAGGATTTTCAGTTAGGCGCCGATGGTGCCTTGGAGTTCAGAGGCAGGATCG